GTAGGGTTAAGGTTAGGGACTGGGGGGCACTGGGGTTGTCCCAGTTTATACTGGGCTGGGTTGGGGCTGTTCTGGGGGAGGGGGGATGGGGATGTCCTCTGGAGGGTGTTCTATGGGGGTTAGGGTTAGAGACTGGGGAGCACTGGGGTTGCCCCAAGTTATACTGGGACATGGGGGGGTTCTATGGGGGTGGTTCTATGGGAGGGTAGGGTTATGGTTAGGGACTGGGGAGCACTGGGGTTGTCCCAAGTTATACTGGGCTGGGTTGGGGGAGTTTTGGGGGGGGTTATGGGGGGTCCTCTGGGGGGGGGTTCTGGGGGGGGTTAGGGTTAGGGACTGGGGGGCACGGGGGTTGTCCCAGTTTATACTGGGCTGGGTTGGAGGGGTTCTATGGGCGAGTTCTATGGGGGGGAAGTCCTATGGGGGGGGATTCTATGTTGGGTCCTATGGGGGGATTTCCTATATGGGGGGTTTTATGGGGGGGGTCCTATGGGGGGCTCCTATGGGAGGGTCCCCAGTGCATTACATGGGTGCATGCAGGGGATGGCGTGTACCAGCGCGGGATGGATTTCATCCTGGACAAGCTCAACCAGGGGGACTGGGTGCACGTCTTCCCCGAAGGTACCGGGCATGGGGGGAGAGCAATGGGGCTGGGGGGTGGGGGGGGACTGGGGGGGGGTCGCCTGTGCTGCCCCCCACCCCCCCCCACACTATGGCTTCCTGTTCTCCCACAGGCAAAGTGAACATGGGGCAGGAGTTCGTGCGCTTCAAGTGGGGTGAGCCCACAAACCCCCCATCTGCCCCACAGCTGTGGCCCACATCCAGCCCCTTCTGCTCCACAACCCCTCATCTGCCCCACAACTGTGTCCCACAGCCAGCCGCCTCTGCCCCACAACTGTGCCCCACATCCAGCAGCCTCTGCCCCACAGCTGTGCCCCACACCCAGCTCCTTCTGCCCTACAACCACCCCTCTCTGCCCCACAACTATGCCCCACCTCCAGCCCCTTCTGCCCCACAACCACCCCTTCTGCCCCACAACTGTGCGCCACAAACACTTCCCTCTGCCCCACAAGACCCTCAAATGCTTCTTGGCCCTCATTACCTCCACAGCACCCTCCCCATTGCCCCTTTTCTGCCCCCCCCAAGTGCTGCCCAGCCCCACAGAGCCACCCTTTGCCCCCCCATAGGCATCGGGCGTCTCCTGGCCGAGTGCCGCCTCGACCCTGTCGTCCTGCCCCTGTGGCATGGGGGTGAGCAGGGCTGGGGGGGGGGGGGGGCGGAATGTGGGGCAGGAGGAACAGGGAGGGGAGAGGGTTGTGGGGTTGTGGGCAGGGGGATGTGGGGCTGGCTCCCGCTGTGGGGCCCGTCCTGGTGCTCGGCCACGCAGGCGGCTGCTGACCCCATGCCAGGCATGAACGACGTCCTCCCCAACACCCGCCCCTACGTGCCCCGTGTGGGGCAGGTGAGTGAGCTGGGGGGGGGGGGGGTGATGCTATGGGGCAGAGTGTTCGGGGGGGGTGCCACAGGTTGAGCTGTGGGGCAGGGCGTGGGGTACTGACACACTGATTCTGCCCCATAGCGGATCACAGTGGTTGTGGGGCGACCGTTCAGCGTCCGGCCTCTCCTGGAGCGGCTCCGGGCTGAGGGCACCTCAACGGTGAGTACCTGGGGGGATGCCCTATAGAAGATGTGGGGCTGCTATGGGGTATCCCCACAGCTCTGTGGGCCCAGCCCCATGAGTTCTATGGGGCCTGTTCCCTCTGCCCCACAGGTGGAGATAAGGAAAGCACTGACGGATTTTGTGCAGAAGGAGTTTGAGGCACTGCGGGGCCAGGCCCGGGCGCTCCATCGCGCCCCATAGCCTGTGGTGTGCCCCACGGAGGAACAGATGGGTCTGCCCCACACACAGGGGGCTGTGCCCCACAGGATGACAGCCCCACAGCCTCGCAGATGGACAGACTGCCCCATGGCTCCCGCGGCACCATGGGGCACAGGTGAAGGACAGACTGATGGACGGGCATCCTGCCCCATAGTGTGCCCCACACCCACTGCCTGTGCACGGTGCCAATAAAGGGGGTGAAGCCTCAGCGGGCTCTGTTTTGGGCCCCCAAAGAGCTGTGGGACGGACACGACCTCAACCTGATCCCATGGGTTTATTGAAGCAGAAGCTGTGTGAGGGGGTCCCATTGCCCACACCCAGGGGACCCCCGTGGAAAGGATATGGTGGGGGGTGCTCAGACCCATTGAAATAGGGCTCAAACCCCTTCCTGCCCCCCCACTACAGCAGCAGGGTCCCATATATAGGGTGGGGTGGGGGGGGGTGTCCCTGGAAACACCTTTGAGTCCTGCCCCCAGGTCTTGGGGTGCGTGCCTGGTCCATTCACTCCTCCTTTTTGTCCCGAGGGCCATCATGGGCTGCCTAATGGGGGGAGTTAGGAGATTAATGTGGGGGGCCAAGGGGGTGTCAGGGGGGTAAGGGGGTGTCAGGGCCCCCCCCCATACCTGCAGGCGTGCGTGTTGGTCCAGCAAGCGGTCGTATTCCCGGGTCAGCCCCTCTGCCTGGCGCCTCATGGCTTGGACCTCGTTCTCTGCCTTCTCCAGGGCTTATGGAGGGGGGGATAAAAGGGGGGGGTGGGTGTTAGGGTCACCCCCAAACCCTATATCCCCCTCCTTTTACCCCCACCCCATGCCCTTACTGCGCTTGCTGGCTGCCAGCTCCTCCTTCAGCTTCTCCACCTTGGCCTTGAGCGTCTCATTCTCATCTTGGGTAGGGGAGGAGCTGCCTCCATCGCCCCCCGCCTCCTGTAGCTGCTGGGGAAGGGGACACCAGGCTTGGGTCCAAGCCTTGGGGTGAGTGTGGGGGTGTCCATCCCCCCCCATACCCTGTTCTTGGTACCTTCCGTAGGGCATCGTTGTCCTCCATGTAACGCCGGGCGGCCTGGCTGGCCCCCTCGGCCTGCTTGCGGAAGGCCTCACTGGAGGCACCCAACAGGGCCTGCTGCGAGATGAGGGTGACGAGGCGGCGGAGGAGGCTGTGGGATAAAGGGAGGGTGAGCACAGCCCTGGACACCCCCCCCCCCTTCAGCACCCCTAAATCCCCACATCCCCCCCCATTTCCATCACTCACAATGAGAGCAGGAGCGCGAACCCGGCCAGGTAAAGGTTGCGCTGAGCACGGAAGAGCTTCATGTGGAAGTGCTCCAGGGCGCCGGGGCTGCTCCGCAGGGCCTCCCGGTCCGTCACGTCGTACTTATGGGTCTCCCGATAGGCATCTATAGGGAAAACAAGAGGGGTGTGGGGTGTCAATACAAGGGGTGTATGCGCAGCACCCCCCCCCCCATATTACCCTGCACGCACCTAAGAGCAGGAGGACGAGGATGACGATGAGGACGATGAAGACGGTGTTGCCGTACGCCACGGCCAGCCCTACCAGGCGCGACTTGAAGATCTTCTGCCATCTAAAGGTGGAGGGGGGGGACAACGGGGAGGGGATGGGAGCCGAGACACCCCCCCCATCACCCCCCGTTACCCCCTATAGACCCCGGGGATCCCCCCCCCCCCCAAACTCCAGCCCTACCTGGCCGCGGACACGAAGGGGATGCAGAGCAGGAGGACGAGGAAGACCTCGGCATAGAGGAAGGTGGCGACCGCCGTCCATTGCAGGCTCATGGCGGCCTGAGGAGAGGAGGGGGGGGGCAAAGACAAGCACCGATGGGGACCGGATCGCGGCTCCCCACCCGCCCCCCCTCCGCTTCCCTTCACCGGGAAACCCCCTCCCCCAACGTTCCCGAACTGGGATCGCGATCGTTTATCGCAATCGTTTATCGCGATAGTTCCCCCCCCCGGTTCGCACCGTCCGGTAGCGGCGGCGCCGCGCCCGCCACTCCCGCCCCTACCGGAAGTCAGGTTTAGGCCCCGGAGCGGAAATCCCGCCCCCTCCTAGGCGGTCACAGCCAATCAGCGCTGCCGGAAGTGCAGGTGAGGGAGTGGGCGGTGCCATTTGCCGTTCGTTACGCCCAGGGAGGAGCCATGACAGAGTCGGTAACAAAGGGGCGTGGTTATGCAAATTATAAACCCATTGGAGCGCAGGGGACGCCGGGAGGCTTCAACGTTGGGTTGGAGCGGGGGTGATCCGGGAATTGATCACGGGAAACCGGGATGAGCGGTGGGAAAGAGCGTGGGGATGGGAGGAGAACGGAGCGGGAGGGCGGAGAGGGGTGACCGTGATGTAAGTGAGTGCGGGCCCGCTCCCAGTCGGGTGCAGGGGAGGGCTTCGGTTTGCTTGTCGGCCTTTTAGCCAAGATCGGGTGTAGTATCTGTTCTTATGAGTTTAATATGGGATATGGCCTCGATGATAGGGCTGTATACTGGTAGCGGGGAATAAAAGGTTAACGTTGTGCCTGCTTGGTGAAGCAGAATTGGAGGAGTTACAGCCGCCAGGCAGAACTGTAGCAGGTCAGATTCATAGCTTAACATTGAAGACGTTCAAAGAGCATCCAGAGAAAGAAAAAGAACAAAAGACGCCCAGAGGAACAACGTTTGCAAGCTTGACAAGTTCCTGCTTTAAGAGACATAAAACTTGCATCGAACCTGAGGTGTGGACAGGAGCCGAAACCCCATTGAGTCCGCGTGAAAGCAAGAGGTTACTCGCGGTGATGAAGAGGAACTACAAGCCTTCATCCTCACGACCCCCTAACGACCACCACCAGGAGGCACTGCGCAAGCGCACCAATGGGGACGAATGCGTGGAAACTAATTATAATCCTAGACGGGAATAGGTTTTGCATATGTATGAGGCGTGAAGCAATCTCATGTTTAGGTAATCATTACGTGTAATATAAATGAACCGAGCGGCAAAGGAAAGGTGCGCATGCTACGGAGGAGCAATCCCCATGCGCCTCAGTGCTGAATAAAAGCATACCTGCCTTACAACTAATGAGTTGTGGAGGCTATCCACGTATCAATATTAAGCAGATTTTTGGGTGTGAAGCCCCGTATCCCGGTCCTGCTCCTTTTCCTCCTCTTCTGCTCATAGGGACCCCAAATCATCCGGGCCGAGCCTTCTTCCTGCTTCTGCCCATGGGAGCCCTAAACCGGGCTCCTCCTCCTGCTCCTAAGACCTCCAAGCCCTGCTCCCTCTTCTTTCTACTGACCACAGTTCTTCTCCTCCTCCTGCTCATAGGGACCCAACCATCCCCAGACTGGATCTCTTCCTCTTATAGGGAGGTTCTGCTCACAGGGACCCCCCTGCTTGGCCTCCCTCCTTCTCCTCCTCCTGTTCTTCAAGCACTCAGGTTCAGGCACAGCCCCATTTACTGGACACCCTTGTCTTTAATAACAAAGCTCAGCCCCTAAAATAGTCCCAGTGAGGGCAACCAACCCAATAACAGTGAACCCAATAACAACCAATCCAACATCAACCAACCCAACAACAACCAACCCAACCCAATACCGCCCATCCAATACTACTCAACCCAACAATAACTAACCTAACACAACCCAATCCAACCTAACAACAACCAACCCAACAGCACCCAACCCATCACCACCCATCCAACACCAACCAACGCAACGATAACCAACCCAACCCAACAACAACCAACCCAACACTACCCAACCCAACAGCACCCAACCCATCACCACCCATCCAACACCAACCAACCCACCACCACCCAACTCAACAACAACCAACCTACCCCAACAACAACCAACACCATCCATCCAACACCAGCTGACCCAACCCAACCCCAACCAACACCATCCATCCAACACCAGCCGACCCAACCCAACACCACCCAACACCATCCATCCACCACCACCCAACCCACTCCCCCCCCCCAATCAGCCATTTCCTTCAGGGCCCTATCAAGTGCCCCCCAAAAGTGGCCTCTGCCTCCGCGCTGCACTCAGGGTCGTTGCTCCGCAGCAGTGGGATCCGGGGCTCCCGTTGCCGCTGCAGCAGCAGCCGGGCCGTCAGCAGGCACCAGAGGAACACGGTCACCCAGGCTGAGGACTGAGGGGACACACAAGGAGTGGGGGGGGTGTCCCCAGTTTCTCTCCTTGGTGATATAGGTCCAGCCCCACCGCACACCCCCCCCACTCCCCAACTCACCTGTGCACTGCTGAGGTTGCTGTAGAAACGGATGGGGCTGTAGGGCGCCCATGGTGCGTGTTGGGCATCCCAGCAGCTGCGGGGGGGACATGGGGATGAGAGACTCCCAGGAAGGCCAAAGGACCCCCCCTCCTCATCACCACCTCGGTACCTGGATACCCTCTTGGTCTCCATGATGGATGCGCAGAGAGCGTCCATCCCCACGCGGAGAATGCAGGCTGAGATGAGGAGGAAGAAGAGGATGATGATGGTGATGGCCAAGGTGACGCGGAGCCAGGAGCGGTCCCTATGAGGAAGGGAGCAGCATCAGCAGCGCAGGGATCCGGGGCTGGGGGGGGGAGAGGGTGTGTGGGTCACATCCAGCCCCTCATCCCCCTTCTCACCACTGGGACTCGCCGGTGCAGCAGCCGAAGATGCCGTAGAGGAGCGATGAGAAGCAGTAGAGGGCAACCACGATGGAGACACCGGAGACGAAATAACAGAGGGAGAGGTGGCTGAAAGCCTTGGGCACCAGCGCCGTCCCGTTCCAGCTCACGCTGCCGTAGAGGATGCACCAACCACCAAACTCCCCCTGCAACCGGGCAGCAAGGAGAGGAGGATGATGGTGACCCTGCCACCTTCCCCCCCATAGCATCCATAGGGAGCCGGGAGCAGTCGTGGCAGGACCGACCGGTGAGGTGAGGTGGAGGCATGGGGAGGAGGAAGGAAGCTCAAGCCCCAGCTGCCTCCTGCACTTACATGGGGTGCCGGCAGCCATGGGATGGACAAAGTGGGGGTTCAACCGCCCCCCTTTGTGCCCCACAGCACCCGGGGAGCACCAATGTGGGGGGCAGGAGATGAGGGCATGGGGACCAGGGTCAAGGCAGGAGCAGGATGAAGACAACTGGGGCAGCAGTGGAGACACCGGGGCCAAGCTGCTGTGCCCCACATCTCACCCCCCTGCACCTTGAAGCAATGGGGCCACATTCCCCCCATATCCCCCCCCCACCATATTCCATCCCGGTACCTGCGCCACGGTGAGGGCCGACGCGCAGGCGATGCCACAAAGGAAGGCGGCTCCGTGGAGGACCAGTTCCACCAGCTGCAGGGTGGACACGGCCATCTTCCACCCATGGGTCTGCCTCTCCGTCCCGCCCCTTTGCACGCTCGGTTCCTCCTCCTCTGCCCCACGGCGCGGGGATGGGCTCAGCCTGGCTCGCCCCAGCATGTCCTGGTGCAGGTGCTGGCACTGCTGAGCTTCGTTTCCCATCAGTCTGCTCATCCCTTTATCCGTACATCCTCAAATCATCCACCTTAGAATCCATGCATCCATCTGCCCATGCTTCCATCCAGCCTCGGATCTATCCATCCATCCATCCATCCAACCTAGAATCCATACATCCATCTGTCCCATCCATCCTAGAATCCATACATCCATCTGTCCCATCCATCCTAAAATCCATGCATCCATCTGTCCATGCTTCCATCCAGCCTCAGATTTGTCCATCCATCCATCCTGGAATCCATGCATCCATGTGTCCCATCCATCCTAGAACTCATCCATCCATCTGCCCATGCTTCCATCCAGCCTTGGGTCCAGCCATCCATGCTAGAACCCATGCATCCATCCATCTGTTCATGTCTCCACCCAGCCTCAGATATATACGTGCATGCAACCTAGAATCCATCCACCCATCTGTCCCATCCATCCTAGAATTCATGCATCCATCCATCTGTCCATACTTCTATCCAGCTTCAGATCTGACCATCCATCCTAGAATCCATGCATCCATCCATTTGTCCCTGCTTCCATCCAGCCTTGGGTCCATCCATCCATCCATGTTTCCACCCAGCCTCAGATCTATCCATTCATCCATCCTAGAACCCATGCATCCATCTACCCATGTTTCCACCCAGCCTCAGATCTATACATGCATCCAACCTAGAACCCATGCATCCATCTGCCCATGCTTCCATCCAGCCTCAGATCTATACATGCATCCAACCTAGAACCCATGCATCCATCCATCTGCCCATGCTTCCATCCAGCCTTGGGTCCATCCATCCATCCATCCGTCTCTGCTTCCATCCAGCCTTGGGTCCATCCATCCACTTGTCCATGCTTCCATCCAGCCTTGGGTCCATCCATCCACTTGTCCATGCTTCCATCCAGCCTTGGGTCCATCCATCCATCTGTCCATGCTTCCATCCAGCCTTGGGTGCACCCATCCACCTGTCCCTGCTTCCATCCAGCCTTGGGTCCATCCATTCATCCAACCTAGAACCCATGCATCCATCTGCCCATGCTTCCCTCCAGCCTCGGATCCATCCCCATCCATCCATCCATCACCCATCCCTCCCTGCAATGCCGACAGCCGCAACGGCAGCGCTCTCCCCGCTCTCCCATTCCCCCCCCTTGCCCGTCCCCCCAAGCAGCAGCCCCCCAAAACCTCTCCATACCAAGAGCTCAACACCTTTTATTGCCATCCCCGGCCCCCCTCTCACAGCAGGAGGTGCAGCGAATACTCGGCGCGAGGCCAGCGCCGCGCTGGCCGGGAGCTGCGCCCGATCATGGGCAGCTTCTGGGCGTACCGGGACACGTGTCCGGGCCCGTGGTGCTGGGGGAAGCTGGTCTGGAAGCGGCGGCCCTGGCAGCGCCGTCCCGCCTGGCGCCCGGCGATGACGAAGCTGAACCGGGGAGCCCCGCGCGGCGCGAAGCGGCACTTCTGGAACACGTCGCGGGGGCCGGGACGGTGCCCGGGTTGCCGGGGGGCTCCGCGGGGCCGCGGGAGGCTGGCGGTGCGGTGCAGCACCGGGCGCGCCGCCGGCGTCGTCGTCGTTGTCGTCACCGCCGCCACCGCCGCCTCCTCGTCGCGCGGGCTCACCGTGGCGCTCGCCGTCAACTGCGGCATCTTCCGCGCCGCGCCTTCGCCCCCGAAGCTCGGGGGGTCCTTGCGGGGGCCCTCGGGGGGGCCCTCGTTGGGTTGGGCCGCGGTTGGGGGCAAACCGGTGCCGAAACGGGCGGCCAGGCTGTCGCCGAAGAAGTCGTAGAGCTCGCGGTACATGTGGTGCAGGGAGAGGGCGGGCGGCGCGGTGGGGGACGACGAGGAGGAGGAGGAGGACGACGATGGGGGCCCACCACTGCCACCCCCCAACGGCAGCAACGGGCGCCCGAGGCCGAAGCCCAGCTCCGGGTCCTGCTTGGGGCTGTGCCGCGGCGAACCCTCGCGGCGCGGGTCGGCGCCGGGCACCGGTGCTTGTTGTGCTTTCATCTTCAAGAGCCGCTCCACGGCCACCTGCGGATGGGGAGGGAAGGGGGGCAGCGGGGAGCTCGCGTGCCCCACAACCGGCCCCACGGCGTGAGCTGGGGCTCACCAGGATGGCTCCGTAGACTTTGTGCCCGTCGGCTTTGACCTGGGCGTTGGAGACCGAGTAATCGTCCAGGACCGCCTGCAGGTTGGTCCAGTACGTGGGGAGATGTGGGTACAGCACCCGCTCGACGGCCTGCGGAGGGCACATACAGGGTGAGGAGGGCAGCGGGATGGGATGGGGGTGACCCACACATCGCTCACCTTCCAGCCCAGGGCGTGCAGCCCCACAACGGCGCCGTAATGGGAGCAGAGCGGACGCACGGGGTCGGCCAGAACCTTCTGGAGCGAGAGGAGGATTTGGTGGTAGAGGCCGCTCACCAAATCGCCGTGAGTCCTACGGGGGTGAGGGCAACACAAAGGCATGGCAGACCCTGGTGCTGTGGGGCCTGAGGCAGGGTGAGGGCCCCAGCACCCCCGGCACCCCATGCTCACCAGAAGATGCGGCTGAGCAGCATGGCAGCGTAGTCACGGAGGGTCCAGTGGTCGTTGAGGGGGTTGATGGAGGCAGCCAAAGGCTCCAGGACGCAGTACATGACACTGGCGATGAGACTGCACACGTAGGAGCCGAGGCACAGGAAGGGGTTCTGGATGAGGCTCCGGGCGATGTGCAACAACCGGTTGAGCTGCTCCAGGTCGTGGCTCACCGATTTCACCTACGAGCAACAACGGCAGCACCGGGATGGGGTTTGGTGAGGAGCCGCATCCCTCGGGGAGCTGCATCCCCGTCGCCATGGCAGCGCCGGCGCTCACCCCGCTGACCACGTAGACGAAGTAGGGCAGGAGCGCGGCGATCTTGGAGTTGGTCTGGAGGTCCTGGAGGGCCACCTAAGGGTGAGGAGTGTGGGGGGGGGTCAGGTGAATGTTGGGGTGCTGGGGGTGAGGAGCAGGGGTCTCAGCCCCATGTTGGGGTGCTGGGGGTGAGGAGCAGGGGGGGTCAGCCTCATCTTGGGGTGCTGGGGGTGATGAGCAGGGGGGTCATCCCCATGTTGGGGTGCTGGGGGTGAGGAGCAGGGGGGGTCAGCCCTATCTTGGTGTGCTGGGGGTGAGGAGCAGGAGGGGTCAGCCTCATCTTGGGGTGCAGGGGGTGAGGAGCAGGGGGGTCAGCCCCATGTTGGGGTGCTGGGGGTGACGAGCAAGGGGTTCAGCCCTATCTTGGGGTGCTGGGGGTGACAAGCAGGGGAGTCAGCCCCATGTTGGGGTGCTGGGGGTGAGGAGCAGGGGGGGTCAGCCCCATCCCTGGGTTCTGGGGGTGAGGAGCAGGGGGGTCAGCCCCATGTTGGGGTGCTGGGGGTGAGGAGCAGGCGGGGTCAGCCCCATGTTGGGGTGCTGGGGGTGACGAGGGGGGTACCCCCCAACCCCAACACACCTTCATCAGCTGGGGGTCGTCTCCCAGCACCGCGCGGGTGACGTGCTGGTAGTACTTGAGCAGGTCGTCAGTCAGCGTGGACACGGCGCTGGGCACTGCGGTAGTGGTCGGGGGGGGGGGGAAACAACATCACCCCACGGTCCCCTATGGGGAGAACAAATTCCCCCCTCCCAACCCACTGCCATCCCCCCATACCGGCTCCCTGTGGCTCCAGGTTGCCTTTTCCATCCAGGTAGGAGATGTGCACTGGAAGAGAGCGTGGTGGTGCTGGCACCGGGTGCCCTGCTAGCACTGGGTAGGTGGGGGGGTCAGGGTGCTGGGTGCTGCGGGCGAGGAGGAGGGGGGATCCGTCACCTCTCACGGCCGTCTCAGCGCATCCCTTGGGGATGTTGGTAGCCAACGCCAGCTCCACCAGGTTCACCTCGCGATCCTCTTGGAAGTACAGCTCCCCCTCCTTGATGGCCCGGAACGGCAGCGCATCCTGGGAGCCGTATCCACACACAGCCTGCGGTAAGGGGAACGGGGGGGGGATCAATGGGGATGCTGCTATGGTACCCACAGCATCCCCATCACACAGCACGGATGTGGAACACCCCCCCCCCCCCTCTCTCCGGTGTCCATCTCCGCACCTCCACGTTGCTCCAGCGCAGCGCCCGGTTGAAATCCTCCACCGTCAGCTTCCTCCTCCGTGTGTGCTTCATGAACTGGGAGCTGTTCTGAAAGGGGGGGGGGGGGCACCGTTACCGGCGCCGTTACCGGCACCCAGGAACAGGCCCCGGGCCGGGCCGCTCCGCCCGCACCTGCGTTGCCTCCCGCAGCCGGTAACAGACGTCCTCGGCCAGCAGCGCCGCCACCTCGTCGCTGAGCTCCAGCCCGGTGCTCTCCGCCATCAACCGCACCGAATCCCGGGGCAGCTCCACGAAGCGCCGCTCCTCCCGCTCCGACATGATGCCCGCCGCGCCGGGCCCCGCCCACGGCGCCGGAGAGGGCCAATCGGCGAGAGGAGAGGAGAGGGCGGGGGGTGTGGTTATGCTAATGAAGAACGCGAAAGGGACGACGGGAGAAAGCGGAACGGGGTTCTCGGGGCTTGGAGGGGGTTTGAACATGGGGAACCGGGAGGGAGATGAGCGGCACTAAGGGGAACATAGGAAGAAACGGGGAGAGATGGCGGAGAGGGGTGACCGTGATGTGAGTGAGTGCGGGCATGCTTCTCGACAGGGGCAGAGAAGACGCGCAACCTCTGGTCCTTTGGCTAAGATAAGGGGTTGTATCTGTTCTGATCAGATTAAGATCTAAAAGGGCGCTGACGAGAGGTAATGCACGGATGGATTCCACGATTCGTTCGTTGTAAGGCAGGGATGCTTTTATTCAGCGCTGGGGCGCATGGGGATTGCTCCTCCGTAGCTGGCGCCCCTTTCCTTTGCCGCTCGGTTCATTTATATTACACGTAATGATGACCTAAACATGAGATTGCTTCACGCCTCATACATATGCAAAACCTATTCCCGTCTAGGATTATAATTAGTTTCCGCGCATTCGTTCCCATTGGTGCGCTTGCTCAGTGCCTCCTGGTGGTGGTCGTTAGGGGGTCGTGAGGATGAAGGCTTGTAGTTCCTCTTCATCACCGCGAGTAACCTCCTGCTTTCACGCGGACCCAATGGGGTTTCGGCTCCTGTCCACACCTCAGGTTCGATGCAAGTCGGTTTTATGTAGACCTGGTGTCCCATCCTCAGTTCCCCCCCCATGATGGTCCCCAGAGGAGGGGCTGGAGAAGAGAAGCTGAGAGGAGAGCTCAGAGACTCTCATCAGGGACTGGTGCGATGGGAGAAGGGGTGATGGGTTCAAACTGGAACAGGGGAAGTTCAGGTTAGAGCTAAGGAAGAAGTTCTTTACTATGAGTGTGCTGAGGCAGTATCCAGGTCATGGATGACC